AAAAATGAACCGAGATGATGTCGATTGTCCTCGTGGCAAGACCTCGTCTCGCGCCCTGACCCGGCCTCCCAGCAGCCGCTCTCTCTCCCCGACAGAGACTTCGAAGTAAGCACCATCGATTTATATGATTCACCGCGAACGACGGCTTCTGTTCCTGGCCTGCGACGGCCGCCCGCACGCCCACCCGACCGTCTTGCCACCGCGAAAGAAACGGAAGGTGGCGACATCTGCCCGAGGGTACAGGCTACTTCGGGCATTCCTCAGAAACGCATTACCGTGGGGGGGCGTCGCCTCAAGTTCACGAACCTGAACTCTTAATCATTATCATCATTATTTTCCCCCATTATGTGTTTAAGATAAGAAAATATAAACGAGTAGCTGCCCACTCCTATATGCTTCTTTGAAAAAGATAATTGACTCCGTACCCCTCTTTTTTTTTCTTTTAGAAACCATTTAATCTCTTAATTCGATGTGTCTGCTAGCTTTGAGCGAAAGAATTTCCGGAAGCGTGACCTGCACTCTCGCCTCAGCCCCGAGCCCATGACACAGTGAACGGGCTTCGTCTTGGTCAACAGAAGAAGTATTTTTCCTTTTATTTTGTGACCAGCCTCGGTGAAATAACAGTCTGCCACGTTTTCAGAGGCAGAGGCCGGTTACATGCCCATCTAAACGAGATGATTAAAACCGTCTTTAATTAATTGATTAATTATTATCGCTATATATATAAAAACAAGAATATTCGACCACGGTTGATTCACTACTCACATTATGTTTCCTGTTTGCGCGATTCGGAGGGCAGTTAATACACCAGCTGCCCTTTTCTGTTCTTTTTTTTATCTTAATAAGGTCTAAGTTCCTACTCTTACATATTACAACGGGTGAGTTAGTCAAATTAAATCCACTCTTTTTTTTTTTTTTGCAAAGTCAATAAGTCTTTTTTTTCCCGATGAGTTGCAAAGTCAATTTACCTAATCAAGTTATATTATCTTACTGACGAGAAGTATAAAACTATAATATCACTTCAGGCTTCCACCTTACCGTGCAGCTTCAAGTCGGTTATGTACAGGTTTTAAACTATAAAGAAGAAATATTAGTAAATACAGTGCAACAATATCTGTTAGAGGGATGTGAAAATTACGCAAGCTACAGACTTTTTTAGTACACATATAGTACTTATATAGTACTTACATACCCTGCTTTGTTGACTAGGATGATTTTATCCACCAGAGGGCGCTCATGTGCACTGTCATGTAGAGTATGGCTGTATGGTGATTACATCAGCTGCCACCACAGTGCCACATACCTTCGATATCGTCACATACCATAGTGTCATTACCATAGATACATTAACGTATCTGTTTAACTAATAGTGTCACCATCGTATGCCAAAGTAACACTATTAACGTGACCTCCATATACCAATGCGCTCTAGCCATAGGTGCAGCTCCACATCCTGCAGCTGTCACCATCACCTTAACACATCCCTTAACATAATACAGCTTTCAGTAAAATATATACACATCTTCCACACCAGTGGTGCCACAACCCTGGTTTGCAAGAAATTCTCTTTTCCTATACGGGCTGTACATTATTTCTCTTTGAGAGGAATAATATGATTTCGAGGGAGTTAGCTGTCTACATTTATGATATAAGTTTTACAGAGGAAGGGACACCTTTTTATAATCTTATATATATTTATGTATATATGTATATACATACACACCCGTGTAGGAAAATATATCTTCTCGTAAACTGACTCGTGGTGACCGTCACTCCGGCTCCGCCTCAAGACAGATGTGACGCCGATGGCAAGGGCGAGAGGCTGCCTGGCCCGGCATCGTGTGTGTGCGGGGCCGCCAGGAGTGGGGTTCGTGCACCGCGCTACTGGCCAGGGCATGGGCATCGCACTCAACTCGCGTGAGTACTGACATTGTGGGTTCTCTATGCAGTTACACGAGTAGTCGATATATAGGATGCATGATACCACGTCAGTGGCTGAAAGTATGATGAAAATATATTACAGGAACGCCTCTAACTATGCCCCAGAGTATGACCTTCACGCTCTTACACAGACCCCAAGTATGACCTCCAAAGGTCAACACTCGGAGCCACACCAAATGCCAGACGACCGCGTCACCCTTTCCTCTCACACACTCTCGTGACGTAAGCAACGTGACCCAGTTTTACCTGTCACCTGACCTCCCTGAGATGCCACCTGTGGCGCCATCTGGGTCAAAGTAACCACCTGTGACGTCACCTTTTGTACTGGACCACGTATGACACTTTCCAAGGAAGGAGCCGCTGCTTCCCTCGACTCCGGATGGCTGTGACTCAACTCAAGAGCAGGAGGCTGACACTCCACATATATATATATATATATATATATATATATATATATATATATATATATATATATATATATATATATACGTATATGTATACATATACATATATACAAACATATATATATGTATATGTATGTATATATATGTATATATAC